GGGAAGGAGACACAGAACCTGAAGGAGGCTCTAGGCTCTGAGCTGTCAGCACAGAGCCCGATACGGGGCTCAAACTCACTAACCACGAGATCATGATCTGAGCTGAAGTCAGGCGCTTAACCGACTGAGCCACCCAGGCACCCCTAAAATAATTTTATTTATTTATTTATTTATTTTTAAATTTTTTTTTTTCAACGTTTATTTATTTTGGGGACAGAGAGAGACAGAGCATGAACGGGGGAGGGGCAGAGAGAGAGGGAGACACAGAATCGGAAACAGGCTCCAGGCTCCGAGCCATCAGCCCAGAGCCTGACGCGGGGCTCGAACTCACAGACCGCGAGATCATGACCTGGCTGAAGTCGGACGCTTAACCGACTGCGCCACCCAGGCACCCCTAAAATAATTTTAATGGTAGCCATTTGTTAGACACTTACTACTTGCCATTGCTTTACATTTACTGGTTCAGTAAGTTCTCTCAATGACCCTATAAATCGTCAGCATTATCATTATACCTGTTTTACAGGTAAGACAACTGAGGTTCAGAGAGACACATAGTCATACTGCAGTAGATGCTAGCAGGCAGTATCAAAATCCGGTCCATCTGATTCTGAAGCCTGTATTCTCGGACACCATACAAAAAACAAACAAACTACAAGCCATAATATCCCAGTTCAAGCTAGTCTTTCATCCATGACAGAAGTGGGAAACTAAGTTTGCTAAGGGAATATGTGTATAATGCTATGCCTTTGATTAGTTTCTTTCCAAAATCAGTATCACTAACAGTTCTGGTGACTTTAGCAGTGGACATTCTAATAGTGGTGCTTCCTGAGAGCACCTATTTTGGAGTTAAAAATGTAGGCTATATTTATTTAGCTTGGCGGTTTCTGACCAGGGATGATTTTGGTCCCAGGGAACATTTGGCAATGTCTGGAGACAATTTTGGTTGTCACAACTGGGTGAGGGGGTAGTGGGCAGAAGCCAGCAATAGTGCCTAACACCTTACAAAAGCCCAAGACCCACCACACCCCCTAAAGAAAGAATTATCTGGCCCACAATATCAGTAGTGGAGGCTGAGAAACCCTCAGTCTAGCTTGTCTATCCTGTTATTACTGAGAAAACCTCGAGGCCTCAGAAATCTCTCCGCAGTCTCTCAGGATTTAGCTTCTGAGGCTAAGTGCCTCCTATGTAAATAGTTCGGAGCTCAGCCCATTAACTCATTCTGGCACATTTCCTATACCTTAAGCTTAGTGGCCAGAGGCCTACTAAATGGTTGGGGCTTTTTAATAGGGTGATACTTTTTCTTCCTGATGTTTCCGAGAGACAGGCTCAGCTGGCTTGCAGCTCTTGCAGAAGAGAACCTGGTGACAATACGCTAATCTGTTGCTGGCATCTTTTCCTCCTAATCTATGTTTACATGGCACTGAAAATCGACTCCCTGGTGCCAGGCTCCATTTCTCCTAAGCGCTCTGGCACCATTGGCCGAGAACACCTCCCCAGTCTCTTCCACACAGTGCTACCATACATGTTTATTATATTGCACAGCTGTTCTCCAGAAGACATTTCTGGAGGCGTGGACTGTACAGTAGCTTCTGGAGCCAGGGGTTGGAGTCTTAATCATTATGTTCCCAGTTGCAGATCCACAGCACTCTTAAAGCCTCTGGTTTTTCCTTCCTTCCTCCCTCCCTTCCTCCTCCTCTCCCTCCCTCCCTCCCTTCCTTCCTTTCACGTTTATTTATTTTTTTTAATGCTTTTTTTTTTTAATTTTTTTTAACGTTTATTTATTTTTGAGACAGAGACAGAGCATGAACGGGGGAGGGGCAGAGAGAGAAGGAGACACAGAATCTGAAACAGGCTCCAGGCTCTGAGCCGTCAGCACGGAGCCCGACGCGGGGCTCAAACTCACGGACTGCAAGATCATGACCTGAGCCGAAGTTGGACGCCCAACCGACTGAGCCACCCAGGCGCCCCCTTTAATGCTTTTTTAAATGTTTATGTATTTTTGAGAGAGAGAGAGAGAGAGAGAGAGTGTGTGTGTGCACAAGTTGGGGAGGGGCAGAGAAGAGAGGGAGACACAGAATCTGAAGCAGGCTCCAGGCTCTGAGCCATCAGCACAGAGGCCGACGTGGGGCTTGAACTCACAAACCACGAGATCATGACCTGAGCTGAAGTCAGACATTTAACCAACTGAGCCACCCAGACTCCCTGCATCTGATATTTTCCTTAACTGTTTTCCTAATTGTAGCTCCCATCCTCTCCCCCAGATTTTAAGCTCCTAGAATACGGAGTCTGTATCTTCAGTTTATTTTCTATCCTTCAGTTTATTTTCTACTCTCTTGCTATTAGCAACTAACATTCCATTCACCATCTATTGAGAAATCAATTTACCTTCTATTATTTTGTGTTTTATGCTTTTGTATTAAAAGTTGGAGGACAGAGGCCCCTGGGTGGCTCAGTCGGTTGAGCGTCCGACTCTCGATTTCGCCTCAGGCCATGATACAGTTGTGAGATCAAGCCCCAGTCCGGTTCTGCACTGGCAGCGCAGAGCCTGCTTGGGATTCTCTCTCTTCCCCTCTGCTCCTCTCCCTGCTCTCTCTCACTTTCTCACACACACAAAACAAATAATCATTAAAAAAAAAAAAAAAGAGAAAGACTCTCTTAGCTAGGCTTGCTTGCTCCATTAAAAAAAAATTTGGAGGACATGATAACTACAATGGTGTGAGAGAGACTAGTGGTTGGAGGGCAATGTCAGCCATCTAGATAAGCAAACCAGGGAACAATTCATAAGCTTAGTGATGTTGAGCCTGGATTAGAGTGAAACTGAGTAATTCTTTCCAGGGAAGTGGGAGACCTTAGAACTTAAAAGTTATTTTCATTATTAAGGGGGCCTAGCAAAATCAAGAAAGTTCCTATTAAGAAAATCCAGTAGGGGCACCTGAGTGGCTTAATTGGTTAAGTGTCCGAATTTGGCCCAGGTTATGATCTCACAGTTCATGAGTTTGAGCCTCCCATTGGGTTCTCTGCTGTCAGTGCAGAGCCTGCTTTGGATCCTCTGTCCCCCATCTCTCTCTGCCCCTCTCCCCTGCTTGCATGCACTTTCTCTCTCAAATATATATATAAATTTTTTTTTTTTTTAAAGTCCAATACGTAGATCACCCCCTTCAAAACCCAGAGAAGTTCAGCAAAGTTCCCAAGTCAGGTGTAATTATTATAGGATATTCTATAAAGGTTAAAATTATGAGGAACATAGATTTACCTTATTTGAGTGATATGCCACAGGGCCCTCAGTAGGGGTTTGAGGTCAGTGAGCTCACTGTCAGCACTGCCAATGCTATCTTTCTCAGGCCTTCCGGGAGATCATGACCATTTGGATCTATGTCTTTGTAAGATTTTAGAGAATTTTGTTGTGGGGGTATTGGTTTATCTAGAACAGTATTTCGGAGCCCTTGCAGACATTTTTTTCCAATCATCCCCCCTCCCGTGAAATTTTAATATTACAGATATGCTGTATATCTGTCACGCACTGCAGTATTTTGGAGGCAAGCTAGTGATTGCACTAAGATTTCCCCATGAACCAATTTTCACCCCCACGGGGGCAATATTGCCCATGTTGCGAATACGTAATCTAGCAATATTATCATCTTGGAAATGAACTGTTATTTTTACCTTTCTTTACAAATTGAAACTGGGACAAGGACACTATCAATAAACTAGTGTTGAAAAGAGTCTTCTTATGTAGTGGCTTGCTGCAACTGGAGAAGAGTGAGAACGGTACTTTTCTGGCTTGTATGGAGGACATTTTCTCTGAACAGCCTCTTGACCATTTGGGGAAAGAACAGGAAAAGACCAGGAACGGCAGACAGACCAATCAATGCAGCTCACCGAAAGGAAGACAAAAGTACAGGTGACAAAACCGTTTTGCCAGGGATATGCTAAGGAGGAAGGTGGTGAAACTGAAGAATCTAGGTATAAAATAGTCTGTTGTTCCAAGGCTAGTAAGCTCTAACCAGTTCATTTTCTTAAAGTGGGAGGTGATTTGCAGCAGAGAATACCATTTAGGTTGTCTAGCATGCAACAGTGTTCTATTCTCCCAAGAGGGTTTGGCTTGTCTGATCAAAAGGGTGGTTGTGTATGAAATGCACCTCAGAAGGAGGAGGAGGAAATGACATGTTCATGTAAATGAAATACAACTGCAAATTAAAGTGTCACCCTGTTAAAAAAAAATCCATTTTTCATTTAATTGGTTTCCAAAGGAAAAAAATGTCATACAGAAGTGTATATCTCAGGGAAAGTTAAACCGTGAGATGTTTCAAGTGAATTCGGATTCAAGGAAGTTCTCATGGGGAGAGGAGGGGTTTATAAAATATTGCCCTAATAAAAATATTCTGATACTGAAAAGCTAGGCTTATAAATTTCTGCTGTCGTTACATGCCAGGGGTCCAGAAGAAATTAGCAAATATGACCTCATTTGTTCTTTACCGTCTCTATGTATCTAATCAGCTGTATACTGGCTGCCTCTTCCCTGGAGGAAGCTTCCTTTTGTGATGTTTTGTTAGGGAGAAGGTCATGTACAAAGGAGGAGACACTTTCTCTCAAATAGCTCTGCTTACTACAAAGACATCCAGGAATGAAATGCTTTTCTGTAGGTCCTTTCTGTGTTAATGTTGTCCTCCCATTTTTCACTCCCCCCGCCCCTCGATTTTATGAAAATTTATCTTTCTCTTTACACTGAGAGCCTGCCAGACAGGACATATATGTTACCTGCCACATTGTTGGCACCAAGGAAATGTTAAATAATCATGGGAGGAGCTGATTAATGGGATTATGTTTCCAGTAGAATTGTTCCTGAGAGGCATGTCTGGTTTCTCTTTGAGATGGGGATTTAGCAGATGGTTCTTCCTCTTCCCCCTCTCCTGCTAATCCCTGTACATGTTGTTTTATGTTTACAGAGGAAACATGGATAAAGACTATAATGTGCTCTCTTTGTCTTCTCCCCCAACCAGGGGCAGTGATTGGTGATGGACAGTCTGCTGTGGCCAGTAACATTGCCAACACCACCTACCGGCTCCAGTGGTGGGACTTCACTAAGTTTGACCTCCCCGAAATCAGTAATGGTAAGCCAAAGTAGAGCTGGTAGTAGTGGAAGGGGTGTCTCTTATTGGTGGGTCAGAACTCAGAAGCCCATGGAGCACTGGAGTTCTCATGATATTGTTGAGCAGCTGATTGCCAGTTTCTATAGTTTCTCAGTTTCTACAGTTCTGTCGGTAGTCAGCAGACATGTTTTGAGCGCCCACCCTAAGCAGTGAACCATGGTGGCTGTGGTGCCAGGGGCAGTGCCAAGATGGACACAGAGATGAAGGGGTCTCTACTCTGGGGAGTTCACCAACTAGTAGCTCATTGTCCTAATAAGCCTCAATGTTTAGGTGGAACTGAGAAGAAAAGAAAGAGCAAGGAGTTTAGGAACTGAGAGCTAGCCCTTGTGACCCTTGAGGAGAGACTGTGGTGATGTTAAACTCATTTGCTAATCCAGAACTGGATGAAACACAGTGAATGACACAGTTGGTCTGTGACTTACAAACACATCTGTCTGATAGTCCATTTTCCCAGCTTCCTGGGAAGTCTGCAATCCCATGTCTCAGTGGTTTATCACAGCATTTTAAAGAACTTCACTTTTTATCGAATGAAGGACTTCTGAGAAGTAGCAGTTCGGCCTGTGCTTGAATACTGCAGATGACAGGTCACACTGTCTGACAAGATGGCCTAATCCATCACTGATAAGTTCCTGTTATTGTTCCCTTCCTGTTATTTCCTCCCATTGGTCCTGGTTCTACCTCTGAATCTCCATAGAATAAGTCTAACGTACCTCTTGTGATGGTCCTCCAACTATTTGAAGATAAATTCCATTTTCCTTTCCTAAATCTTTCTTCTCAGGCCAGATTTCCTTCCTTGAGATTCCTTTTACTGACCCTGGTTTCCAAATCCTTGACAATTTTTCTCATCTTCCCTTTTGATTTTGGGGGGCCAGAACACAGTTAAAAACTCCAGATGGGAGCTGTCCAGTATGTAGCACAATGGTGGTTTGGATAGTGTTGATTCAGCATGAGATTTCAGCAGCTTTTTCTGAAGCCACTCTTCAGTTTGCGGTCACTTCAAATTCCTGGATAGTTAATTAAGAAACCAAGACTACTGTTCTATACTTACTTGTACACTTGAATCTTTAAAAACCAAAACAGGTTTGGGACACCTGGGTGGCTCAGTTGGTTGAGCGTCCGACTTCAGCTCAGGTCACGATCTCACAGTTCATGGGTTCGAGCCCCGTGTCGGGCTCTGTGCTGACAGCTCAGAAGCCTGGAGCCTGTTTCAGATTCTGTGTCTCCCTCTCTCTCTGCCCCTCCCCCATTCACGCTCTGTCTCTGTCTGAAGAATAAATAAACATTAAAAAAAAAGTTTAAAAAAAAAAGCAGGTTTGTATTTGTTTCTATTAAATGTGATCTTAATAGTGTCAGTTGCAGTTCCTGGCTCCTCCCTCTCAGTGCCTTTTTGAACTTTGATTCAGTACTTTTCTCTCAGTCTTACATCATCTACTAATTTGATAAATATGCTTTCTCTGTCTTCCTTTGGATTACTAGCAAAAATGGTGAATCAGTCAGGACTTTATACCAGTCCTTGTGTTATGTTGCTGTGGACTTTCTCTGTGTCAGTTTTGGTTCATGAATTAGCACCCAGGCATGATGATCACAACTGAAGCCCACATTTAAAAAAAAATCTTGTCTACAAGGTATTGTAAGAGTTTGTCAGATGCTTAAAATAATCAAGATGTTCTCTGTGGCATTTCCCAATCTGCCAGTCTTGGTATCCTTGTCAGACCATGAAAATAAGGTTAATTTTTCATGTCTTAATCTTAGTGAAACCACAGTAGCAATCATTTATTTCTAAGTACTTATAAGCCACATGTTCAATAATCTTTTTGTTTAAGTCTGCTGGGAATCAGCTGCAATCTACTTTTTCCTTTATTGAATACCAGGTTTGCTTGTTCAGCTCCAGATTTCTGACCCAGATCTTATTTGCCATAATTCATTTCAAGTTATTTTGTTTATATTGTTTACTTTGTGGAAATGTATTCAACGTTCAAAATTTTTTAAACTATAAAATAATATTACAGTGGAAAGTTTACCAGCCCTGCTCCCAGGTGCCCACCACTTCTCCCCATAGGCAGCCACAATTAGCAGTTCCTTGTATATCTTTTCAAGGATACCTTATGTGTGTATAAACAGGCAAATGCAAATGTATGTTTTCTCACCTTCTGTTTGACCCAAATGGTAACATGTTATACATACTCTTCTTTCTGCACTTTGCTTTCTGTACTTTATAATGTATGTTGGTCATCTTACATATCAGTATATGAAGAGTTAACTCTTTCTTTTTTAATAAGTGCCAGTATTCCATTGTCCAAATGGAGTCTCTTGGTTCCATTTTTTAACCATTTTTCAAACAGTCTTCCTCTGAGGAACTTTTAAATTGTTTTCAGTCTTTCGCCATACAAACCGTGCTGTAGTTTGTTGTTTTGCATACATGCAAGAATATCTATAGGATAAATTCCTAGGAATAGAATTGTAGTTAGGAAGAGTACATACATCTGTGATTTGGGTAGATGTTGCTAAGTCACCCTCTGTAGGGTTATGCCGATTTCTACTCTGCCCTGCAGCCTATGTGAATGCCTGTTCCCTAAACTCTTGCTGGCAGAATGTGTTAACTATATTTTTGGATATTTGCATTTCCGATAGGTAAAAAATAGTATGTAGGTATTTTAAGTTTGTATTTCTTATATTACACCAGGTTGTGCGCCTCTTTATACACTTAGCTATGTGTATTGCCTTTTCTTGACCTGTCCATGTGCTTTACTTGTTTTTCTATTGTGTTGCTGATCTTTTCCTTACCGGGTCTACGGGAGCTCTTTCTAAATCAGAAAATTAACTTCTAATAGGAGCTCCCTGGTTGTCATTTGTCTTTTGACTTTGCTGAAGGTTATTTTTGTCATAGAACTTATTTTAAGTAGTCAGAATTATCCAACTTTCCATTTATGGTTCCCAGATTTTGTGTCATCATTAGGAAGATCAGTTAGTACTTTTGTATTTTAGTTCCTTTACCTTCAAGTCTTTGATTCACTAGAAGTTTAACCTAGTTCCAAATAAGCAGAATATGATCCAGCTTTTACTCCATATGGCTACTCATTTGTCCCGAGTTTATAGACTAATGCATTTGTCCCCATTGATTTGGAATGTCACTTTCATCCTGTTTTTACTTTCCTGTGTTTATTTAGATGTATTTCTAGACTATCCACTCTGTCCTAGTGATCTGTGTGATTATTCATGTGAGAGTACCACATGGGTTTGTTTTGAGGCTTTGTGTTTTAGAATCTAGACCCATCCCCTCTTGTTGTTGTTGTTGTGGTGGTGGTTGTTGTTGTTGTTATTTACGTAGGCTTTATGCCCAGTGCAGAGCCAGACACAAGGCTTAAATTCACAACCCTGAGATCAAGACCTGACCTGAGATCAAGAGTTGGATGCTTAACCAACTGAGCCACCCAGGCGCCCCTCTTATTTCTTTAATCCAAATTATCCTGTCTGCTCAAGCAGTTTTGTTTTCCTGTATGGACTTTAAAACTGTTTTACTTCTTCCCTTCACACCCCCTCCGCCCTGAAAAAAAACCCTGTAGTATAATTATTGCAATCACATTAAACTTATAAATTAACTTAAGGAGATTCAACATCTTTATGGTATCTTTTTAGTAAGAATGTGGTATGATTTTCCATTTCTCCAAGTTTCTCTTTTGTTGTTAGGAATGTTTCCTTCATATAGATCCTACAGAATTCTTAAGTTTACTATTATAAGCTTATTTTTTAAATCCTACTGTCTTACTGAATTGTTTACTAATTATAGTTGTTACTCAGGTAAATCTCATGGATTTTCTAGGTGTGTTATCTGTAAGAAGTGATAATTTTACCTTCTCCATTCCAAGTTTTACATTCGTGATTTCTTTCTCTTGTCTATTTGCATTGGCTCCTATCAGTACAGTGTTAAATAATAGCAGGCAGCTTCATATTGTTCCTGATTTTATTAGGAAAACTTCTAGCTTTTTCCCTATAAACATATTGCTGGCTTTTAGGTTGAACCAGAACTAGTTTACCATTTTCAGGAAGTCAGCTATTCCTATTTTATTGAAAGTTTTTATCGAGAATGGATTTTGAATTTAGTCATGGCCTTTCAGCATCTATGAAGATGATCATATGTTTTTTTTTTCCTCTCCTTTGATCTAATAATAAAATCTTCATATTAATGGATTCTGTAATATTGAACCTGTCTTTACATTTCTTGGAAAAAAAAAAACAAACACCTGGTTGGTGGAGTATTCTTTAATGTAAAATTCTTTCCATGTAGCTTACTAATAGACTTTTTTCATTGATTTTTGCAAGTGGGATGGCCCTGTCCTTTTTTATAATATCTATGGATTTTGGTGTCAGTATCATGCTTGTATTATAAATATAATTTGGTAGGTTTTCTTTGGAGCAGTTTAAATACTATTTGAATTGCTTACACTTCTGTATTTTAAAGGTCTGGGCCTAATGTCTGTCTGTCTGTCTGTCTTTCTTTCTTTCTTTCTTTCTTTTCTTTCTTTCTTTCTCCCTCCTTCCTTTCCTTTCTTTCCTTCCTTCCTTCCTTCCTTCCTTCCTTCCTTCCTTCCTTCCTTCCTTCCTTCCTTGCATAGAGGGAGGTAGTTCTTTGATAACTTTCTCTGTCAACTGTCCTATAAGGGGGTAAGCACATGAACTCTTATGACACGCTGTCCAGGTTCAAATCCCTGGTCAAGCCACCTTCTAGCAGTATGACCTTGGTTATTTAATCTCTCTCCACCTTCATTTCCTTGTCTATAAAGTGAGAATTATAATAGTGCAAACCTCATAGGGTTGTTCTGAGAATTATATTAGTTAATAATGTCAGGCACTCTGAACATTACCTGACATATAATAAATGGTCAGAAAGTGCTAGCTATTTTTATCATGTCTTTTTCTAGGAAATTGCACCATGATTCTTTGAGAGTATGGCCATAACTCTG